AAAAAAAAAAAAAAAAAAAGGAAAAAAGAAGAGAAAAAAAATGCCCGACACGAGTGTACCGGGCTCGTGCGGAACACAATAAAGTCTGCGCCCCAACCCCTGAAATGCCAGCGTGACAAAGGGTGGTTAAGCCCTTCTTGACGAAGATGCACCACGCTGTACGTCGCTGAGCCCCTGATATATTCCCGTGCAGACGTCGCGACGTGGTGCAATCGCGCCGCAAACGCTCCGCCGATTTCGACGTGTCTCTTTGTCCTCCTCCCATCTCCGCGATTTTTTCTCGTCACACTCGTATTGCTCTCGATCGCGTCGTCTTCGCGAAGCTACCGGCGGATCCGGTTTCGCGCGCGATTAATTTCAAACGAGATCGACCAGCAACGCACTGCCCGCCCTCTTTGCGTACGCAAATTATCGATCTCGCGACCTAACCTTTAACGAGAAAAGAACCAATTCGGTGCAAAAGCGCCGAGAGAGTTCGACGGGCAGCCAAGCGTCCGTGAACCTGGCGTTCGTCGCGCGAAAATCGTTTAAAACCGTTTCAAACCGTGCGTCAGCGGCAACAGCAATTCGAGGAGCGAGTTCTGCGAACGATCACGATCGAACGAAGATGAAAGAACACGTGTGCACCTGCATCGAATGAACGATCGAGGAGAGAGAGAGAGAGAGAGAGAGAGAGAGAGAAGAACAAGCTGCGAAACAGTCAACGCTCAGAGTTCGACGCTCGCATCGAAAATAGCATGCGTGTAGTGAAACGTCGTTCGGTATCCGACGCCAGTAGTCGATGACTCGTTGACTCGCGCGGCGTATTCGCGGCGATGAGGTAGAAAACGACTGTGCCGGAAACGAAGTGTCGCGTGCGTGAAGTTCATCCGGAAGAACTGGCAATGGAGGTGGAAACGGTGCCGTGTATGGAGAACAACAACGTGAACAGAGCCGGCGGTGGTGCAAGACACGGTAGTAGAGTACAAATAGTCCGAAAGACACGGTGAGGCTCGAAGAGTATAGAGAAGTGGAGTATAGAGAAAATCCTGATCGACGAGGGAGATTGTTCCACGTTTGCACGGCGTGCACGCACGAATTCTTCGTTCTGTTTTTCTTCTTGCAGGACGTCGCTGTTCATCATCATGAGTTTCATCTACGCGAAACTGCTGGTGGTGGTGTGCATCGCTTACGTGATTAGCGAGGTGGTCACGCACAAGCTGCCTCTCTACTACTACGAGGGATTCTTCACGTACCTGTACGGTGTCAGCATCCTGTTCCTGTTGTACGTGTTCTGCTTCCTGCTGCAAGAAAGCGCCTGCTGCGCGAGGGGCAGCGACACGCCGCCGCCGCCCCCGAGGCCACCGAAACCACCCAAGGAGCCCAAAGAGAAGAACAAGAAGAAGGACAAGAAGGACAAGGAGCAGAAAACGTCGAAGAACAAGAAAGAGTACCAGGTCGGGTACCACTTTGTCGCGGTAATTTAAGTATTTCTCAAACTTTTCAACAACGTATCGACGTTTCGAGCAAGCTTAACCTGCTTTAACCTGTGCGAATGAGCACAGTTTGTAATTTATCCGCGACAGGCGATAGACTAGAGATAGGCCACATCAAGTCGGGTAATTTTCGCCGTAGCGATGGTTTCTTAGAAAGCACGTGTATAT